AAAAAAAAAAAAAAAAATCATAAGATGTATATATCTCCAGATGCATTAACTTACAGGTTTTATTCGTAACTGTAGGTTCAAACTTTAGATATTCACAGCATTATTGAAGCTGTCATATTACTACAGACCATATAAAGTTAAACTGTCCAAGAGATTTCATCAAATATTTCAGAGAAGACGCGAAACTAAAAGTAAAATTATTATTTTTCAATGAAACATAAGATGGCACAAGAGATTTCAAAGCCAATTCCACTTCAATTTTAAAATGCAGCTCTTATATCTATCACTGACAGCTGGCTGACATTTACCGCTACAGCCCCGTTACTTTTACATAAAACAAAGAAAACGAATTTGAAGTAAGGCACAGGAATACCATGAAAGAAGCTTGAAAAGTAATCGCTAGAGAGTGGCAAAACTATGATAGCTATACACCTTGACGGATTTATCAGCCCAAAGAAAACTAAAGGAGCAAATTCCCGCATTAAATGTTTCAAGTGTTCGTTGAGAGACGCAGGCCGGTTTAAAGCATTGATCAACAGTGCCAATGATAGTGCGCTGTTATGGTACTATGTAGCTCAAACAACGTCTATCTGACATACGATCAATCATAGTCTTCATGAAACAGGTACGACATCTACTTTAAACACGAGTTTTTTTTTTGAAATTTACTTTCGTTAAGCATGATCCAAGTTTTTCCAGGCTGCTTTTAGTTGACTTATAAGCGAAAACACAAGTCCCGTATTACGTAGCTCCAGATTTTTTCATATTTTCTAAAAATGAATTCTGGAACTCCTTAATTTCGGTACTTCAGATGTGTGTAAGTTGTGTTTCAGAAAATAATTTTCAGTGCTGAATAACTGTTTCTCGGCTTGGTTACTATGCCTGTGTACGCGTTTTGGAATCGGTCACTACAAGCCAGTTCTAGTTAGTTATTGTTTATTTCCGAAGTGGTAACTTTCTGTTTCGACTTTACGTTTATACTATTTCATCAATTCGCACAATGAATTTGCTTTTTCAAGTTTTGCTTGATTTTTTCTTACAGTTACCATCGTCTTCATTATTAACTTTAGATGCTTTTTTTATGCAGAACTTCTGGGTTTCTTGGGACGATGTGAGGGACAGGTAGCCAAGTTTCCTCTTTTACATATTCGGTGTTATGCAGCTCTTGCATCTAAAGAAGTTTATAAACGAAACAAGCCTCATCTAAATGTGGGGACGATAGGGCATGTCGATCATGGAAAAACTACACTTACTTCAGCTATTACAAAAGGTAGTTTACCTTTAGCGGTAATAAGTTTTGTAGAAGTATGTAGTTTTTACTGATTTTTGTAAACAATATTTGTAGATTTTGTTCTCTGTCAATTTCTCGTGTTGTCACTAATCTAAGACAATGTCACTAATCTAAGGCGATAAGTACATCAATCGTTTTTGTTGCAATGTTTTACTGTAGAAACCAAATTAATCTGCCTGTATTTCCTCTAATTCGACATAAATTTTACAGTTCTTTCCGCTAAGAAGCAGTGTAAGTTTAAGAAATATGAGGAAATCGACAATGCTCCTGAGGAAAAAGCAAGAGGTGATTTATTTCAAATTTATTTGCTTAAATTCTCGCTTTTGCCAAATTATCTTCAGTTTTCTTCAGTTTCTGCAAGAAAAGAGGCAAATAAAGTAATATTCTGCACGAATTGAAAGTTTTTAACCGAAATTATTGTTTTAGGCGCGGTATGCTTCAGTGCTTCACGCTTTTGTCTGTTTATTTGTTTTTAATAAGTGACCAAAATGTGATTAGAAATCCGTTTAGGTATTACCATTAATGCCTATCATCTTGAATACGAAACTGAAAAGCGGCACTATGCTCATATTGATTGTCCTGGTCACGCAGATTACATAAAAAATATGATTACTGGTGCTGCTCAAATGGACGGAACAATTCTAGTCGTGGCTGCAACTGATGGAGCTATGCCGCAAGTAAAATAAGTCTTTTGCACTGGTGAAATGCGAGGTATTTGAAAGCTTTATGTCCTGTTTAATAGTTCTTTTTTAGACCCGTGAGCATATGCTGTTGGCAAAACAAGTGGGTATTCCTATGAAAAATGTGGCGGTGTTTATGAATAAAGTGGACGAGGTGCCGGATAAAGAAACGCAAGAACTTGTGGAAATTGAGATCCGTGAACTCTTACATGAATTTGGTTATCCTGGAGACGACCTGCCAGTGCGTCAGACTTTATTTCTATTCTCTTCTTCCATCTAGTTGATTTTCCGTTTTCTGTTTAGAGAATGTATTGCAATTTGTTTTCCAATTTCTTATGAACAGTTTTTATCAGTTTAAAGGTTATTTTTGGTTCCGCTTTGTGTGCGTTGGAGGGCAAGAAGCCAGAAATTGGCGAACAAGCAGTACTTAAATTATTAGATGTACTGGATAATGTTTTTGAAATTCCTGAGAGGGATACAAATTCCGAACCAATGTTTGCAGTAGAACATGTTTATTCTATTCAAGGTGACTCATATTTTTTTTCTTGTTTTTTATTCGCTGTAAAACATCTTGGGGCACAAAATTGTATCTTACGTCTTTATTTCGTAATTATTCTGATAATGCCAGGTCGCGGGACTGTTGTTACCGGTAAACTTGAGCGTGGAACTCTCAAAAAAGGCGATAAAGTTGAAGTCGTTGGTCATGATCGTGATTCTGTGAAATCAATTATTACAGGTTTCCCTCTATTCACTTTTTTCAGTTTAACATTTTCTGCTATAGAAATTTAAGAGGAGCATATCGTTAAGCACTAAAAATAACTTGATTCTTGCTTTCTTTTTGAGGAGAATTTTTTCGCAGCTGTTAGATGTTATACTAGATGATAACTGACATTGAAGGTTTTTAAAGAATCTTTACCTTTGTGAAATTGCAATTGCCTTCAGGCTTGGAGACTTTCAAAAAAACGGTTGATGTTGCGCAACCTGGAGATAATCTGGGGATTTTACTGCGCGGTGTTGATGCTAAAGCAGTGAGGCGTGGGATGGTTCTTTTGCCTCAAAGTCATAAGCACGCTATAACTGATAAGGTTGAAGCTCAGGTGTGTAATATAAAACGTTTTATAGTGTTTTACTGCTACTTTTATTTTCACTACAGTTTTTCTTTCGAAAATTTTCTTCAAAATTTTATTTAGATATACGTTTTGAAACCAGAGGAAGGTGGTCAAAAAGCACCAATTGCGAACTTTTTCACAGAGCATTTCTATTCGTTAACGTGGGACATTGGTGGTTTGATAAAATTAAAGGACGCAAATCGTGATTTTATCATGCCGGGTGAAGTAGCCGAGTAACAATTCTTGTTCTTTGATTGACATGATTCTATAGGTTGTAGTCACTCACTTCGTGAATGAAAACAGCTTTTTTGTGTGATTTTTTCTTAGAGCTTTTTCTTAAAGCACAATTTTGCAGAGCTGTTGTGCATTTGGGCCACAAAATGTTTATTGAACCGCAACAGAGGTTTTCTTTGCGCAAAGGTTCTGCCACAGTTGCAACAGGGGTTTTTACAAATAATCTTCCTCCTCGTACTGAGGAGGAGAAAGACTCAAAATACAGGAAGAAGCTTTTAAAGGTTACTTCACAGGCGCTAGAATATTAATAATTATCATGACGGAGTTTTTCTAATTAATGAGCTTCCAGGCTGAAATGGAGAAATTGGGTTTCAATCCATATGGTGAAACTATGGAAAAACGTCTTAAACCGGATTACTCTTCAAGTCCGAGAGACAATCCTATGGCTAAGTATTTTGAAAAGGAAGAATCAAAGTAAAAAAAATTTGTTAAATTCAATTTTTTTGATGAGAAATGGCTGGAAAAGAAGCGAAAACGACGTATACCGCATTCTAAGAGTAGATTATTGTTTATTTAAAATTGTCAAGTTTTGACGCACTGTATATGCTTGTTGTTGTCCACAGTTTATTGCTACTTTTTATTTGTTATTCGGAAGTTTTGCGGGCTTGTTGTCGAGCGTTCCAGTTGATGGAATTGAGTAGATAGCACGTTTTCCGTTGTTACCTGCTTAAAAAATTAGTGGTTTTATGTCTCTTTGTATGACGTGTATTAGTTATATGTATTAGTTAGCTGTAGAGCAGTTAGGATTACTAAATGATTGTAACTCGGTGTTGAAACCATAATTTTTTTCAAAGTTTCTTTAGTTTATTGGCATAAGTTTGTTAAAGAAATATTACGTTCTTTTGCTCATTCATAATTCATTGTAATTGAAATTGAAGGCCAGAGTGAAGGAGTAAAATCTCTGCTAGTAAACGTGGTTAATTTTTATAACATTATCAGTGAGTCTTAAAAATGCAGTATTTTTCAATAAGGGTGCCGGCAGTAGACGTTTTTGAATGCTTTCTTTTCCAAAAGAAAAAATCGAGGACTTTGGCAGGTTCTGCACACACACTCTCAGAATTATTTCTAAAGTTTTCCTTGGTTAACACGTGCAGATTTTCGTATTGGAAATGTTACCGAAGCAGCGTATTGCCGTAACAAGCTGAAGGGGACTGCTTCGTGCCTGATGAGTTTACAGCTTTTGGTCTTGAAATTGTCAACTTTATGCAGATACTCTACTGTAAGTTAAATCCAGATTGCCTGCTTTCTTGTAAAAGTAACATACTTTAGTAAAAAGTTTGAACTGGCAGGAGTTTTTTGGACAATTTGTGTCTAAAATTTCTTGAGATTCTTGAAAGTTGTTGTAAGTTTTTTTTATTTTTATTTTTATTTTCCAAATGACACGAAATAGCAGTGTTGTTATATTACGACGGTCTAAAATAATAGACAGTAGCAAACGAGTACAAGTTCTTTTCAATACAGTTTGTCAGGCAAATGAAAACTAAGATGTCGACGTCATACATTAAAATACTTGTAATACGCATATTGCAAAATAACCGAGGGTACTTTTCCATCATTTCTGGGGTCGAATGGAAGCTAGAAAGATTGTTGTTTTCGAGCACTGGTGTTTTTTCTTGGAAAGATTTGCAAATATGAGTAGCCATTACGTTCTTAGAAAAACCAGGGCGACCGTTTGAACTATCTAGAATAGAGGCTTTTGAGCAAATGATTCTTAAGATAGTGAGCATTTTCCGCTACAATAAAAGTGTGAATTAAAGCATCAACCTTGCACAGTTTCCTGACTCATTTTTAGAATGGTTATGGAAATTTTTTGAAAAAAAATGCCACTGATGGTGTATTCCATTAAAGTCATTAGTAATTCGTTATTCTACGCCAGGCGTTGTCAATGTTTACGAAGAAGGACGAGATGCATGCACTAAAGCTGATTAGTGCAGTCGTTTTACTGAAGTAGTTCATATGTTTATTTCGTAGATTACTTTGTATTCATTTGAGTAATGTACCTGCTGTTTTGCTTTAAAATGAATACACTGTTGACACAGGATTTTCTTTTTTTTTGCCTGTTTAATAGTGCAGTTTCAAAGTTTTTGAGCTTTTCAGAATAAATTTTGTTTTTGTACTTATTTGGCATTATTGCCAATTGGATTATGCGGAGCCAAATTTTGGACTAGGACAGGTCTATTGACCGTTGGTCTGCAATAAGATCGTGTGGAAGTCACCCAATGCAATGGACGTCACCATCGCATCACTTTAAGTAATATAAAGGGCTTTAGAAAAGTGGCCGTCACATGGACGTTTTTCGAAAAAACCTTTGAGATTTATTTATTCAATCTTTTTTATTATTAGCGCTGTCAAATAACCTTCACTTTTAACGCACTGTTTTAGTAAGAAAACCTTTTTCTGTTCGATGTATGTCAGTATGAAAAACTGCTTCACTCCATAAAAATGAACGTCTTCTGAGGTCTTGTGTCGCTCAAGTCTTTTTTTTTTTTTTTTTTTTGACATCTACTTTTTCAAACAAGTAATTTGAAATTTTCTCCAGTCTAAAATTTTATAATAATTAGGCAACCTTTACAGGTTAGTATTACCGCTTGTTAGCTTTTGGTCTCTTGATACTGCAAAAGACTAAGCTATTGTTGCTGAAGTGTTTGAGGTAACGCGAAGTATGGTTTTTAGCGCGTCTGCAATTTATTACATGATAAACTTTTATTTTTATTAGATGATGAAAAACCAAAATTCTTGGTTGGCTGGAATTCATTCGTCCTGTTTTTTAAAGAATATTTCTGCTAAAAAGTCTACGTCTTTTTTCTTGTTACTATATAGCGACAAAATAACATTGTTTGTCCAAATCGTCTTCAGAGCAGTTTAATACATATCCTACAATACAATACAAAAACAGTTAATACAGTACCAGTTTCAGAAACAGAAGATAGTGCATTTTTAAAAATAAAATTCTCGTTACTACACTTGAATGATTATAGTTAAAAGTTTATGAAATTTAACAGTTAAGCCATAAAGTTTCAAAAAATGTTTTACAGTTTTTCTATCAGGGATTTAAAGCTTTTTGTACAAAATTTGCGGGGAAAATTTATGCCATCATATAGTGATATAGGATATTCCACCAGTAAAAAAAGCAATGAAGCTTTCTTGACTTGTGTCATAACATTTGGAGTTATTGCTATTGTAAGCAGTAACGGATTTATTTACACTGCATGAGCTTTTGGCCGAAGTAAACTTGATGAAGTAAAACGAAAACAAGAAGTTATTGCAGTTTTAAGCAGAACGGCCCAGTGGCAGCGTCGAATTACAACTGCAATTTTCAGTGCCAAAATTTTAGATAGGTATATACTACCGTCATTGCTATTTTCCCTGTAAACACGCATTTCCGCAATTGCTCTTAGCATAGGTGGTTTAAGCTTGAAGTAAACATATTGCAGGTCATTATCGGAATCCGAACTCAGTCAAATTGAAGTTCACTGAGATACCGGATGATACCGTAATCCAGCCGTTGCTGTACATTATCGGAATGGAGCCTTAATCAGCAACTGCAAGTCTTTTTCGGGTTCTTCTGAAATTAGAATTGCACAAGACAAGACTTTTCAGAAAGCATTATAACTAACAAAATTTTTTATAATAAAAAGAGGGCACATTTATTATTGGAAATGACGACACCTATGTATATAAATGTGTATTTATTTATTTTTTTACCGTTTCATTTCCAATTTGGTGCGAAAATTTTTTTCGTAGCAGGATGAAGGTACAGTAGTCAGATGGGCTGGCATCATATTAAAAGTTGTGACCTACGTCCACAGTAGACGTTGTTTAGCTCGTTTATTTTTAGAAATCTGCGGTTTTTTTGACATTATTCGATTCTTCAAAACTGTAGCTGTCGATCTTTTGCTATCTCATATTGATCTGTAGAGTCGTTGTCAAGATATTTGCCAAGATGTGAAGTTAAAGCTCATTTTTAAATTGCTATTTTTCTGTGATTTTCTATTGAAAATTGAGGATGTCTGGAACATACAATTTTTTTCTTCTTTTTTTTGCATATATATTCCATAAAGTGTGTTTCTCAGAAAAATGAATTTTTATTGGGAGTTTGCCGAGCTTTTTTTTTTCAAACTTGCTTTTTGTCAAGGGAAGTTTTTACAAAGTGTGTAGGCATACAACTGGGCTGAGTGGTTATACCCGCCTATCAATAAATTCTAATTTATTTATTTTTCTTCTTGTTAGGTATTTTTAGATTGTTATTAACTTATATTACGGTTGTCCTGTCCTTATGACGGTCATATATATTATATATTACATATTATATATTACTATATTTGGTATTACATATATATATATATATATATATATATATATATAT